AAGCAGGTACAAAATTCCACTCTTGTGGTGAAGGGAAACACCCCCTTTCCTCAGCTCTGAGGAAAGCCACAGCAAAGCCACAGCAGAATTGTACCCGCAGTTGGATTTTGCTGGTGTTCACTACCCCTTGTACTGAACAAAGCTCAAAGGACACCCTTGTGACAGTGGTAGTCAATAATTAAGCATGTCAATCTCTATCCTTGGGGTGCAACGTGCCGCTCAGGCGAGCGCTGCCAGAGCAGGTTAGCGGCGAGACGGGATGCTGGGAGGCTCCGCAGAGGAGGCTTCCCTCCCGCTCCCAGGATCTTCTGCAAGTGAGACATTGTGCTGGAGATCAGGAGAACAAATAACCTGAAAACATCCACTGTTCAGCCTCTTCCTCTGCCCTACAGACTTTGCAGGACCTCTCAGCCTCTCTAACAGTTATTTGGGATCAGGACCTCAGCAAACAGACCTATGGAGGCCCCTTGCTCCCCACTTTCCAAGCTACCTCCCATGCACTGAACTCTGCAAACAGAGACTCCTCTTTTTTCTCCCTGAGGGCAGAAAAACACAGTTTTGGAAGCAGCACTGCACAGCTGACTGGAGAGCTGGCTTGTCCTCACAAAGACCTGCCAAAAGACAACTTTGTTTTTAGGACCTTGGATAAAAGTCTCCGCTACGTTTCCAGCACTGATGCAATGTGCTGGTTACTGATGCTTATCCTGGCAGGTCCCACAACGCGAGGGGCCCTGGCAGATCCCAGGGGACGCAGCTGTGCCAGGAGTCCTCAGCAGCAACCAGAACAGACCCCCAGCCTCTGCCTCAAGACATATGGCAAGAGCAACCCTGGAGTAATAACTCACTGTTGTAGCAGTCATGGGGAGAGCGGGGGAGTGCAAAAGGTCTCAAGACTTATCGTTTAGTTTAGTTTGAAAGGCAGAAACAGGCCAAGGTAGAGAAAGGGAAATATTTAACTCCCTAAAGCTCTCAATAGTCTGGGATGGCTTATGATCCTAATTGCTTTCTCTGGAAAGGAAACACCACATGGTATGATTAAGCTAACCTTCTGGGACAGGCATACTTGGATTCCTTTTTCCCCTTAGCTGCCAAACCCACATCTAACCCCACAGAGCTCCCTCAGACACATGCGTCAGCACTAACAGCTCCTTTTACCTATTGCACTGTTTTACGCCATGCCTTTCTGCACTAACGCAATCCTGCCTCTCCCCAGCGAGTTCTTTGCATGCACACGGCTATAAGGCAGCACAAGCACTGACCTCATCTATCCAATTGTCTCACAACCCGATTTCAGGGTGCCATTAAACTTGTAAATGGGACTCAGGCATTAAAGAGCTTTTATCACTTTCATAAAATCTGTCATGAGAATCTTCTTATTCTAAAGCATCTCTTTCCAGAGTGTTATTCTCATTCACAGCTTCTCTCATTTAGCTGGTAGGTGTTTGTGCACAAACAGGGTCTCCCTGCAGATGGAAGTCCTCTACTGCCTGCACTCGCATCTCCTCTTGGGTAATAGACCCCTGTGATATTAGGCAAGGGAGGGTCCAAAATTAGACTCAACAGCTGAAGGGTCATTGATGGAAGGCATAAGGAGGATACCAGCTAGCAGCTCAGCTCCTTGAAGGACAACACAGCCACAGAGGAAACAGTCTTGCACCTCTGGGGAAGACAAACCTGAGAAATGTAATATGAGTGAAGGTGTTGCACCTCAACAGATCTTCATACAAAATGATTCCTCAGGTTGCTCTCAATTCTAAGATGATTTCACATGAGTAAACCAGACCTCTACTGCTATTCTTGTGCCTGCATTTTTGCTTTTCTTTCTCATGATTGCTGTAGGTTTGGAGGAAGAGAGGAGTCCTCTACCCAGGTCCCGGGACTGGGCCACTCTATGTCCCCAGAGTTAACACCTTGTGGGACATTAATGTCAACAGAAGATTTAAGTAGGCGATCTAGATTATTACTAGAAAGACTAATCCTGAGCATTACTCTTGCCTTTGAATAACTGAAATCTGAGGATTAGCCATGTACCTTCTCTTCCGTTACATATTACAGGATTTTAAAACTCCTTTAATATATTACAGAGGGTCTGATCCCTGGCAGGGCTTCATCTCACTTAAAAGCTAAGAATTCCAAGTTTAGCCTGATCACATTTCAACCTTATGGTTTTTATCTCTACCTCTATCATTCCCTTAATATGTGACTTTTGACCACTCGTGATTCTTCGGTAGTTTCTCAGCCAGAACTTGCAACTGCCTCTGTGGGAAGCAGTGATCTCCACTGGAGCAGACAGCGGTGGGGCCTCCACAGAGCTCCCTCGTGCTCCCACGGGATGGCTACATGGCTGCTCACACCGCAGTGCGCACGCTGCCGCGGGAGAGGCAGCTCTGTGATCCCTAGGCAAGCTGGAGGCAGCTTCACCAGATCAGGTGTTTATCCAAAGAAGTAATGGGACACAACAAACAACACAGGGTTGGGGATGAGTAGATGGGGACAGAAGTTTCTTAAGCTGATTTAGCTGGAAAAGCCAGTACACTGCAAAACTGCATCCACAAATGCTAATTTACAAGTTTGGAGGTAAGAGTTGGAGCTTCTTAACAGCTCACAATGCAACAGTTTAGGACAGGACATGAAGAATAAGCTACACCCCCCTGCCCGTGGTTTCTCAGAAGAAACAGTAGTGACATTTAAGCAGTGGAGACATACTAATTAAGAGGTTAGGATTGCTTTCCAGGGCCTGCACAGTAGTGACAGAGAGGTGGCAACTCACCAGTCACTAAACATTTGCTACAGCCCAATGCTGATCTCACTCTGTCATACTGCATTTTATTCAAAAGCCATTCCAGCTTTGCTAATCAAACCTGCATAGAGGGACCAAGCTTTGCAGCAACCAACTGTTCATCTTCCCTCCTTTGCCATGTGCCACAGTGTCCTAAACCTGTAGAGCGAACATCAGGGACCAATCTTTGCAGCAACCAACCCTTCATCTTCCCTTATTTGCCATGTGCCACAGTGTCCTAAACCCACCATCACCTAGAGCCTGGCCTCTCCTTTCTGTGGAGCCCCCATCATGGTGTTAGGGGCAGAGAGGACAGCACGATCTTGGTATTGACCATGCTGTTGAGTCAGCACATGGCCACAAACTACAACCACCCCCCAGGGCTTGGTGCAATCTTGGCACCTCCAGCCCACATTGACTCAGATGCTTCGGTGTTGCCTTCGGCTTGTTCATCACCTGGTCCTCAGTTCACTCCCGACTGACCTACTTACACCACAGACTCGTGCACTGTGGAGCATAGTTGCTCTCTGCAGTTAATTTGCATTTGCAGGGTGATGAGATCCTTGCCATGAAAGCCAGAACAATTTATCAAGAGTTTTGGCTCATAAAGGGTGTCAAAATTGCCATACCCTAAAAACATCAAAATATCAGTAATTGCCATGCAGAGACAGAACTCCTTTTTCTTACTAAGAGGAAGTTTTTAAAGTTCCCCCAATAGCTGATTACAGACTTCAGTCTGCACATATAGTTTTAATAGGTGTGATGACTAAATGAGAATTAAGGAGAGAAAGCAAATATTCCTCCTGGGCTTTTTAACAATTTCAGCCAAAGGCTTCCCTCCTCCACTCCCCCCGTATATGAAGTCTTAACTTGATTTGCCCAAGTACATCTAAAGAAAACAGTCCACAGCAGAGTGGCACTTATCTTCAATAAATAGTGAAGTTTGCCCCACATTCATTCAGTTTCATCGAGTGATTAACATCCCCTCCTCCTCCCCTAAGTATTAAAATAGCAAAAAAGGGGCAATTCTCCCTCAAGATAGGAAGGGGTTAAGCAGTTTCAAAACAAGCTGGGCACAACTGATGTCAGATTCTGACTTACAATGGCATCTATTTGCTTTCCCAGCAAGCAGGATATGAACTGCTGGGCATTGTGTTGTTCCATGGACAGCACAAGACACCACATATCTAGAGGAGAGCAGATTTTATTGCTGCTTCCAGTTAGCTGGAAGGTCTTGTTATTAAATGGCTATGGCAAAAAATAAAATAAAATAAAATATAAAAGAAACTCTGGAAAAACTTTTCTTTTTCATTCCAACTTTCTTTGGTTGTTTACTTCAGTTTTGTATTCCAGGCTGCCTTTCTCTGTCATAAATAGCTCATCTGTATTCTGCACACATTCCTAGTGTCACTGTAATTATGTAATCACTACGGTTAGATTAAAAGGAAGTCGGCATTAAAATATATAGTGAAAATAGAATGAATTGACCTTCACAAAATTATGAGTACTCTTTCAAATGTGTTTCCTTGGCATTGAGGGGAAGAAAAAGGAAGCTGTTATCAGAGAAGCAAGAGCAAAAGTCCTCAGTATTTCTCTATCTGAGTATTTCACCTTATCTTACGAATAGAAGGACTTGGGGCAGAGTTGAGAGAGGGACCTGTGAAAGCAGACTGTCAGCTTAGGTTAAAAAGAAACATAGTGCTGAACTTTGTAAAACCAACCTGCTGGCTAAGAACAAGACATGTCTTAGTCACCTGCAGCTTACATGCATTTTTATTAACTGAAAAGTCTCTGAGGAGGCTCCATAATTATCTTTCATGTGTTTTCCACTTATTTTTATATTCCATATATAAGTAAGTATAGTAAAGAGACAGCACTTTGTAGTGCTCTGCCCTTACATGGGCAGGGAGGTGGATTTGCTCCAAGCGGGGAGAGCCATATCACCGGTCAGCCCCAGGACTCCTGGTGTGGGACCCCAGCCCAGGAAGAGGAATGTACTGGAAGCCTATCCCAACAGCATTCCCGGGCTTACTGACTACCAATGAGAATAGATCTGTGTATCTTTTTGTTTAAGACAAAGTACTTCAGCGCTTTTAAACTCCCTTCTCAAGTATCCAGCTCAAAGCAAAACCACGGGTATTTTCACATCTGGTAGGAAAAGGTGGCAGGAATCTGATCAACAACCAAGGAACATCCCAGAAAGCAAATCAAGAGTGCTCACCTGTCATCAGTGTGTAGTAGTTGGGGTAGGAAAGACTTGGGAAGTCTGGAGTCATGTAATCCACCTTCACCCCCATGCTCACGATGTCCCTGAAGCCCGGCAGGGACTCCAGCTCCTCGTCGTCGAGGTAGTCGAAGCGGAAGCCGTCGATGAGGAACACGAGCAGCTTTCGGTGCGCGGCGGCGGTGGCGAGGGAGAGAGCCAGGAGGAGGGCGAGGGCCAGGGCCAGGCGGCTCCCCATGGCCAGCTGCACTGCCAGGGCTGGGGAAGGCGAGCGGGATGTGCAGCAACAGCTCCAGGGATGGCCCCAGCACCACTGTCCTCCCTGCTGCTTCCACTGCCGGGTTTAAAGCTACAGCACCGCCTGCCTCACGCTCGCACAGAGGCGCTGGAGGCAACGGGTTAATTGCAAACAGATGATTAGCTTTGCTTCCAAGAGGCGAGAGGGGGTGGAGGAGGGAGCCCGGGACTGCCCTGTAATGAGAAAACACGTTGCAGAGATGGAAAAAAAAATGTATGAAAGTAATTGGAGACTGCAAGTGTGTTGCACAGAGCCGTATGAGCGCACGCTGCAAATGCTGCCTTCTGGCCTACGGAGAAAGAGAGCAGAAGCCTGTGGGGGCTGCACTGCTGCTTTCGGACCCTGTCTCCAGACCAGGGCTGCAATGGGGAGAGGTCCCGCAGAAAGGAAAGGTTTTCCTTAAAGGAAAGTGACAGGTCTCCAGCCACACAAACGTGCACTTTCTCATCCTCCTTGCAGCAGCTTTTAATAGCAGCTCGGGCTGACATTCAGCCAGGCTGCCCTCCAGCTGGAGGGTTACGCTGTGCGAGCTCAGGCTCAACATTTCGGTAACGTGGCTCTGGGGCGGCCGCCGACTCGGGGCACCCACAAGGGAACCGCACAGAAGTGCCCGTGTGGACTCTGTCATCCCCACTCATTCTGCTCTTTAAGGGGACTGATCCAGCTCCTAACACATTAATAGAAAAAAAAAGTGGTTTTTAGCACTGTACAGAACAAGCTATACATTTATTTTCTGACTGTTGCTATGACTATCATTGCTGGTAAGGGCTGGGTAGCTCCAAATTTCATGTTGAAAATAGAAAATTGGTCACATTTAAGTACTAAGTCACCACTTGGTTCTTCTGCTGGCCACATGTGTCTAGACTTACCTCTAATAGAAAGCCACAGTCTATTACAGACTATCGTCATATGTTGGCTCAATTTACTTACATTTCATTTGTTTTTCTCAAGTAAAAGATGATAATTGGTGACCCTGCTTGTGCAGGGGGGTTGGACTAGATGATTTCTGGAGGTCCCTGCCAACCTCGACTGTCCTGTGATTATGCAATTCTGTAACAGTGCTGTATTAGTGCTGGAACACTGTAAATGAGGAAGAATCATCTGCCAGGCAGAGGTGGGTTGGAGGAAAGCATAATATTTGTATTTCTTGATAAAAGGAAGGGAATGCAGCTCTGGAAAGGGGTGTTTCCAGCCATTGTCTCATTCAGCAGAGAAACGGCCACTCGCAGATGTTGACACCTGACCAAGGTTGCAAGAGATGATGGCTGCCATCCAGACGTGAAAGTTTGCCCTTCGTTTGCTCTTCATAACACTTCCAATTACATGTCCAGTATTCAGTTGCCTCTTACTAAATACTGGACTGATGCAAGCTCAGAAACATGGCTTGGCTTTCAGACTCCCTCAGAGGCTGTCTCGACAGTCTTGTTCCAAATGATTATTTGCACCTGTGCAAATCGAGTACAAAAACAATCGTGTTCTGGCTTGCATTTTATTTATGTTGCTTTGTACTCACTGCCAGCACCCAAAAGTAAAAGCAGCTGTTTGCAGGTCATTTCTTCCCTGCTGCTCCAGCAGCACCATGGCTGGGCAGCAACAAGAAGTGGTATCATGGGTCTTGCCAAAATGGACTTTCGATTCAAAAAGAACTGTGAAACATTCTACCAGAGGAAGAGGTGTCTGGGTACCCCATGGCAGAGTTGTTTTTCTGTGGGATCAAGAGAATGGGAGGAATTCATCCAGTCCATCTGAGAGAGGATGGAGGGAGACTGTGCATGTTCCAGCCTGCCGTTGAGCAGGTCTGCTCAGCCTGGTAAACTGGAAATGGTGACGTTAAGGACTCAGGATCTTCTTAGTCAATTCCTTACACGTCCATTCTACCAGCAAATAAAACGTGTTCCTTGTGGACATCTCCTACTCCATGACTTTCCCACCCATTCAATTTCTTCCATTTTTCAGGTTCCCCTTCCTTCCTCTGCCACCTCAGAGCTCAGTGTGTCCCAACACTTGGGACATAACCTCAGATCAGAGCCTGACTCAATGCACCCAGGGCTTTTCTGAGCTTGATCAAAATAAGGAATGAACCAGGCCTTCCCTCCAGGCTCCTAGACCTGCTGCTGCAGGACCGCATCTGGACAGGCATTATTGGCTGGATGGCAGAGCTCAGAGGGTGGTGATCAGCGGTGCAGAGTCTAGTTGGAGGCCTGTAGCTAGTGGTGTCCCCCAGGGGTCAGTCCTTGGTCCAGTCCTGTTCAATTTATTCATCAATGACCTGGATGAAGGCACAGAGTGCTCCCTCAGCAAGTTTGCTGATGACACCAAACTGGGAGGAGTACCCGATACCCCAGAGGGCTGTGCTGCCATCCAGAGGGACCTGGACAGACTGGACAACTGGGCGGTGAAAAACCTAATGAAATTCAACAAGGCCAAGTGCAAGGTCCTGCACCTGGGGAGGAATAACCCCAGACACCAGTACAGGCTGGGGACCGACCTTCTGGAGAGCAGCTCTGCAGAGAAAGACCTGGGTGTCATGGTGGACGACAAGTTGACCATGAGGCAGCAGTGTGCCCTCGTGGCCAAGAAGGCCAATGGAATCCTGGGCTGCATTAAGAAGAGCATCTCCAGCAAGTCGAGGGAGGTGATCCTGCCCCTCTACTCAGCCCTGGTGAGGCCGCATCTGGAGTACTGTGTCCAGTTCTGGGCTCCACAGTACAAGAGGAATGTGGAGCTGCTGGAGAGAGTCCAGCGCAGGGCAACAAGGATGATCAGGGGCCTGGAACATCTGCCCTATGAGGAGAGGCTGAGGGAGCTGGGCCTGTTCAGCCTGGAGAAGAGAAGGCTCAGAGGGGATCTAATCAGTGTCTACAAGTACCTCAAGGGAGG